CACCTCCTTGCCTTTCATCCTAATGGTTTTTCAAATAAAAGCTTCAAGCTCTTATTTCCAAATCAACGACCAAGATCCACCAGAACTACAGCACAGCTGAGGCTGGTGGGGACCTCTGGGTCCATCTGGCCCAGCCAGGCCTCAGCAGGGCCACCCAAAGGAGGGTGTTCAGCATCCATTCAGCTTCAGAGATCTCCCAGGAGGAGACCCCACAGCATCTCCAGTTGCTGTGCCAGCACTCTGCCACCCGCACAGCACTGCTGCCAGACAGTCAGAGGCAACACCTGTGTTGCACTCTTGTAAAGGCACATCTGTTGTCTGAACAGACCTTTGTGGGGAGAAAAAAAAAAAAGAGAAAAAAAAAAAACATTTCTCTTAGACCATTTATTTAAAAAAAAATTACACTACATTTGATTTCCCAGAGTCTCAAGCACACTAAAACTTCATTTGCACAAGGGTCTCTAGTCACCTTCAGTCATATCCAGAGACATCCTTCCTTTCTGCTGAAATACAACTGTGCTCCTGTTTGAGCATATCTGAAGAAGTCAATCATGAAATCACAGAATATTTGGGTTGGAAGGCTTCTTAGAGCCCCCCCGGCCCCACCTCTCCATGGGTTGTCTATTCCCTCCCCAGATTAGGCTGCCCAGGGCCCATCCATGGCCTGGGGCATCTCCAGGGATGGAACACCACAGCCAATTCCTACCTTCTAAATTAAATCTCCACCTTTGAGATCGAAACCATTCTCTCCTATTCTGTTCTATTCAGTTCTATTACTGTCTGCCCATGAAAAAAAGTCTTTCTCCATCCTGATTATAAGCTCCCTTCAGGTACTGGAAGGCCAAAATGAGCTCACCCCAGCTCAGCCTGAAAAAATCTTCTCTTTTTTTTAGGCTGTACAAGCCCAGCTCCCTCAGTCTCTCTCCATAGGATAGACATTTCCATCACCTTCATGGCCTCCTTTGGAACAAACCATTTTCCAACACTACCCTATTACATGCCCTGAGCATGATTACATGACCTATACTCACAAGTCCGACATCAGAAGCACCAGTGTACCTGCAGCCAGGACCCCAGAGCCACCCAGGTGTGAAGAGTATGCTCCAACTGAACACCAAGATGGCAAGGGACAGTTAGTTTTGTCTCCTTGAATACAACTAGTTGAGTTCTGATAACTCGCAGGAATAGAGAGCACTCTAATGCTAGGAAAAAAAAAAAAAAAACATATATACATATATTTACCACTTTCTTCTGTATCTCTTGAGAAAATTCAGAACAATAGGGAGCACATTACTCAAGTTACTAAACTGTTCAGGCGCATTCTACGCTGCTTACCAAAAAGCTCAGCAATGCCATACTGAAACATTATGAATGGAGTACTTCAACTGCAGGGACTGGCATTTTGATGTTGTAAAATTTCCCATGGTACTCCATGTTTCAGGTGTGGGATACACCAAACAGGCAACAGGACTTCCACTCAACCAGTATCCTTCTCTTTAAGGACAAACTTTTACTCCTCTTGAGACCACTGCACTATGTAAGCAAGCCACTTTCCAGTCCTGATACCTATAAAAAGAGGGATCAGAACACAAACCAGCTTTTATCTGCTAAATATTCCCCTGCTCTTATTTCGAGGATTAGTTTGCCCTCCTAAGAAAACATGCCTAGGGACCACTGAGGAATCCACCAAAAGCAGGAGCTCTGTTCCTTCTAAGGTACCAGGATGGATTAAAGAAGGTAAAAGGCTCCTGCACCAACGTTAAACCCATTCATTCACAGCACCAAAGAGCTTTTATCATCCAGGTGCCAACTATCATCTCTAAAAAAAGAAATTTAATATGCAACCTCACTGAAAGTCAGCAAAAGCAGCATTATTTTTTAGAGCTGAAATATTATTTTAAGAGATCAACACTGCCCTAATTAGCAGTGGAGCTGAATGTTTCAGAACATGAACCCAGCATCAGAATACAAAGAATCACTTTAATAACAGCCTGAAAAACTGAAACATCTCCAAACAGTGATCTCTTTCCATAAGTTCACTCTAGGTATAAATCCCTTCCTTGCTACTAGCAATAAAAACTGCATACACTCAGAACCCTTGGCTTGTTTAGAAGAGCTTCACAACTGGATTCACTTGCTTTTCCTGAAAATGAAAACAACAAACATATAGCTTTAGAACAGTAAAGTCTCTCTCAGAATTCAGAATTGAAAGCTAGCGCGTCAAGTTTGTTTCTCAAAAATTTATCTTTAAAGGTGGATTTTCATTAACGAAGCGCCTATGCTTTGCTCAAGCAGACTGTGAAAGGAAGCTTCATCGTTGAAATTGAAGCTAATGAATCAGGGTTTTGGAGGTCCTAGCAAATTTAAGGAACTGCTGTTTGCCTGCATGCACGCCAGTGTGAGTGCGCATTTGCTGCTCTGTTTTAACAAAGGGGAATTAAACATAGCTCTCACACTACAAACTGTAGTTTAAGCTGTTGCCACCCAAAATATTATGTGTTTGCAGAAGTTAAGTCATCTTGAAAAGAGAAACTAAAGAAATAAACTAAGCTATTAGGATAGGTAAATACAATATAGAGAAACACTTTTAGGCAGTTCAACCAAATAAGACCTCTGCATCTCCACATACAGGCTAATCAGTTCTCAAATCAAAAGAGCTACAAAAACCACACACAAGTTGCAGTAAGAAGCATGGATGGTTGGGGAAAAAAAAAAAAAAAAAGACACTCCTGTGTGACATGAAAAAAAACATTTCGTCTGACTGCAGTTGCTACTTACTTCCTAGAATTAACAATCAACATTCACATGAGATCTGAGCATTAAGGAATTCTGGAGGAATAAGCAGAACTAGTTTTGCAAGTCCAAATTAAGATCCTAAGGCCACAGCCATGAACCCTGCATCTGAAAAACACTCAAATCTGAGACATCATATGCGTGATCACCTGTTCTCCCTGTTGCAAGTTGGGATAAGCCTCACACAGGAGAGAGGAATCACAGCAATGAAAGCCAAGGACCCTGGAAACAACATCAGACAAACTGGAACTAAACTACCTGTTCCAGCAGCAGTGCTGTCATTTTTTTTTTTTTTTTTATTTTTATTTATTTATTTTACAGGCTATACTTACTATACGAAAATAAAATACGACTAAAATGTCTCTAAAGTGACAAGAGAAATTGCCTTCACTGTCAAACTGCAAAACAAAATCACATCAGTGAGCTGTTTGGTTTGTTGTGCCTGAATACCTTACTTAAGACTTGGAAGGGCATTTTCAGCCAAATTACTCAGATCAGTGCAAACCCCTGCAAAAACATCTAAAACATCTCCCAGAAGCACAAGCTTATTTTCCAGTCACCTTCAATGTACAGCTTTTATCAACAAGCTACTAGGCCCTCAATGTTTTCTTCCAATACTTTTAGTGTTCAGATATTTTCAGTGTTCAAATTCACAGTGGTATAGACAAGAAATCCTTAACTGGTGGACTTCTTCATGAGTGCTTTTGGTCTTTCAACCTCACACACTCATCAATTGATCAAATGGCATGAATTTTGTCCTGTCTATTTGAAAAGGAGATGGAGCCCAAAAAAAGCCCTCCAACAAGTTTACTTTTCTGTTCTGTCCACTGTCTGCACGTCTGAGTATTAGGAAATACTCAAACATATAGGAAATCAAAGCATGGGACTCCCAGATTAAAAATGATTCATCTAATCCTGCGGACAAGCAGCAAACTGCTATCTAGAAACCTAAAGGAAGCAGTCTCACAAACATAATAAAAAGCAATGATACATTGTGTATATACATACACACAAACATACATACACACGTATGTCAAAAAATGTGAAATCATTTTGAACATTTTAACCTTCGAGTAAGACGTGAGGGTAGTTGAGGTATGTGCTTACACCAGCCATCAGCTATTTCCATGGACAATTTATAAAGCCAGCAGTAGGTTTTATGACACATCAGCCATCAGGTACCTGAGAGGAACTTGAGAGGAACTGCGACTGATTTTCATTAAATGAAAAAAGGGGTCCATTACACAAATATTCTTGAGTGTCCAGAAAATCCCAGATATATTCTATATTCCCTGCAAAGCAAAGTTTGAGCCACAACAGTTACACCCAGTTTGATTAATTTTAGAGGCCCACCTTTAATTAAGGCATTGCAATTTTCTGCTGACAAAAAGGTATATAATTCTTTTCACATTCAAAATGCAAAGCAAATCCCTTGCTCTCTTTGTTTCCTCATCCTGACATTCCTTAAGACTGTAGACAGCATTATGCCTAATACTTGCAAACAAATACTACTGTTTCTATTTCCTAAGACTGGTCAAAAAATTCAGAATATATATGCATAACGATCAAATAGGATTTCTTTCAAAGCAGGGTTTTCACAACTTTTTGTCCTTCAGTTTTGGAAAGATGAGTCACTTCCAATTTCACTGCAAATATCTGTGACACAAATTTTGGAAAGACTTCATTAGTCAAGCTCTACCATAGAAGAAACAAATGTAAGTAAGTCACTGTTTTTATCTAGTCTGTTTCTGTAGCAAGAACATTAAATCTGTATTTTTCAACATCCATATCACAGGCCTACAGAATCAAAACAGATTTTTGTGAAATTCAAACAGTAACTACTATTTCATCTGCAATTTTCTGGAGTAATTCGTTAATAGTTATATACTGAACAAAGCAGCACAAAGAAAGATACTGTTTTCCTTCTCTCTTTCTCTCCTCTGTAACCCTCCCTCAGGTACACATGTAATATCACCTGGTCAGTGAAACACCACTTCACTCAAATGAACCTTTCTAACCTTATGCATACAGAAACAGTGAACCAAGAAACCCTCAGCACCTGTAAGAATTATGAGCTTATTGTTATGCTCATATTCACATAATCACAGTAAGTTTCTGGACTTCACTAGGGTCCAAATTTACAGGTTGCCAGGCCTGTGTGCAAGTTATTTTCAGAAAAAAAGTAAAATACTACACAAATAAAGTACCTGCTGCCTCCAGTAAGGCTTCTAGTCTTGCTTGCGTTTCTGGATCCACAGCTCTCAAGTCCGCACCTTCTGCAGCGCTCGATAAGAACAACTCTGATGTGGTTTTAAGTACAGGGTTATCAAGATCTTCTTGGTCCAAAATAAATGATTCAACCTGTTTGACAAGTTAGATAAACAGTTTTACCATTTTTCACATTTTATAACAAATCTAGAAATCACAAAATATATAAAGGAATTTAACTGTAATATCATAATACTTGAAGCATACAAATTATTAGATAGAACATTAGAAGTTACTTGGTCAACTCACTAGAAAGGTAGATGAAATGCTAAAATAAAGAACTCTACACGAGAAATAGCTTATCCTAAAAATAATAACTGACAAGAGCTGAAACTACAGATTAAAGAGCTGAAACTCAGATTAAATACTGAAAATAAATGTTATGGATGTTTGCACAGTTAACCAGCAGAACAGACTGCCACAAGGAGCTGTGGCACCTTTGTCAGCAGAAATGCACTTTGTTATTACAGAAAACAGCCACCAGTAATGACTTCAGTACAGCTGAACCTTTCTGAAAGCCAGGGATGGACCCAATGATTTCCCAAAATACCTTTCAGTTCCCTTCTAAAATATTATTTCAACTAACACTGCACAAGGATTTTCTGTTTTGAATACAAACAAGATAGTCAATGACGATTCAAACCAGAACAATTGTTTCCACACTGGCACTTAATATTACCCAGTCATCAACATTTTCTAGACTAGATCAGATACACAGAACAATTAAGCAAGCAGGTACTCCAACGAAGCAGCAATAATGCTGTCCCATTGCCAGTCCACGTGATCTCCAAACACAAGCTCATGGAATTACTCAACATAACACAATGTAGTTTTAGGACAGCTTGCCGGCGTAAACAAGGAGGATACCTGACTCATACTCTAATGAGAACAGAACTACATTTCAGAATCTGTCTCAAGTGCAGACAAAACTCCTTCTATTTTCAGCAATATTTTTACATCAAAACAGGGATATCATTCCATAATTATCCATTCAATGCTACTGGTGTCTTTGGTATCCATCAGAAATGAGACATACATGTTGCTGTCCTTTCTCACTCCACATCCCAATCCCATCTTCCTTCCTCTGTTTTCCCTTAATTCTTTCCACTATCTCTTCCATATCAGCAGTAAGCAACCACCACATTCAGTGCTATCACACAACGCTTTGGGAAACGTACAGTTCGTGCTTCAAAAATCAAAGCAGGCCCAACAACAAGCTCGGTAAAACGCCCCATCACATGAAGGGTGTTCATGAGTCTGGAAAGCTGCATGTAACACTGCTATTCAAGATCACCTGAGTTAACGGCTGTCCCTTGTTAGTACGTAAACGTCCCGTAACATTATCCCCATCAGCAGGTGCCCAGTGCAATGCAATGGTCACACGTGAATACAACGAGAACTGCATTCACCGAAGGAGGTGGTAAGAGTAGCTTTCAGGAAAACAGATTGTTAGTCCCACATCTGCACGATGTTGCCTAACTTACAGGAACTGTACCTTGTATGTCCACACACAAACATTAAAGGTCAGACAGCAGGCTGTGACCTACAGCTTTAAGCAGCAAGTCTCCTAAATTAATCCCAGACAAGACACGAAAGTCTTCAAACAAAGAGAATGGTCAGTGTTAAGAGCCAAGAGGGAGAAAAGCAGAAAATCAACGACCTAAATTAGTGATAAACATTTTTACTGCAAAGCAAGAAGATCTACTTACGATAACAGCAAAAATCATAAAAACCATAGAATGAAATCACAGAAACCACAGAATGGCTTGGGTTGGAAGGGATCTCCAAGGATCATCAGGTTCCAGCCCTCTTCCCACAGGCAAGGTTGCCAGCCACTACACTGGGTGCTAGGTCAGATTACCCAGGACCCCATCCATCCTGGCCTTAAACACTTCCAGGGACAGGGCAACCACAACCTCTCTGAGCAACCTGTTCCAAGACCTCAGCACCCTCTCAGTTAGAATTCCCCCTCCCCCCTCCCCGACATCTAATCTAATCATCCCTTCCTTTAGTTTAAAACCATTTCCCCTTGTCCTATCGCTTTCTAGGAGAGGTCCTCCAGCCCCTAGATCATCTATGTGGCCCTCCTCCAGACTCTCTCCAACAGCTCCACATCTTTCCCGTGCTGGGGATTCCCACACTTGGACAATCCTGTCCCTCTCCCTGCTGCCACCCCTCTGCTGATGGAAACCAAGACACCATTGGCCTTCAGGGCTGCACATGCACACTGCTGCTTCATGACACGTATCCCTGCACTAAAACTCCCCTCTGCAGAATTCACATGTGAATTAAGTTCATCTGGCCCACATAAGGACTCCTTGCTGAAATAAGGTCTGAAGCAAAGATATCTTGGGGTAAAACTGACAATTATCTACAGGAGCACTTCAAGGTATTTCATTATTCTCCCCTAAGACTACACAGGGAACTCTGCTTCCTCAATGCACCAGAAATATTATTCCTGCTGCCACAGCACACCTGACCTACCGACGGGTAGAAAAATACCACCATGTATACAAGTGACTGCACACTGTACATAGCGGAGAAGTCCATAGAAGCAGCTGTACTGCACTGCATTTTGGTTTGTTTTCCCCTTTTCCAATTACACTGCTGAACATTATGTAACCCCCTCCCCTTTTGAAAATGTACCAAAAGATGCGAAAATACGACCACACATCAGAACAACAAATACCCCAGAAACTTTCAGACTGTCTTCTGACATGCTTATCCTTCAGCCTCTGCACAGCCTGACAGTACCTTAGGCGAAGCTCATACCAGCATCAACTGTTAGCTTTTGTTCTGATTGTTTTAGTAAGTTTTAGTAACATATCCAGAATACAAACATAACTTGACTCTGAAAACAGAAATTCCACACGTGACATGTTAAAGCATTCGTGCCATTGCCAATCTTTCAGAAGTTTCAATGCATTTTCAAGTTAGAACATCTGATGTTTCTGCAGCTGTAGTCTCTCACACAGACAGGGGATGAATACCTTCTCACTAACAGCAGAGCAAAAATGTCCACATCAACAAGATGCCACTTGTGAACGAAAGCGACCTATGATGATCACATAACAACCAAACAATATCAAATACATTACCAAAAAAAAACAAACATAACCAAATAAATTTTACTTTAATACAGCACTCATATTGCAGATTTAGGTACTCCGCCATAAACAGACCCATAGCAAAGTGAAAGAGTCACTGGTCACCATGCTGTTTTTGGATTATTTTGCAAGTTGCAGTTGATAAGCACCTTACTTGGTAAGGCTCATCAGGAATACACGTACTCAAGACATCACTCCCATTCCCAACCTTATTATGAGCAGGAACGATTCCCAGTAACACTCCCAACACACTGTGTGGGACCTGAGCACCACTGCACCTCACCCAGGAGAACGAAGGGCTTGTCTGACATCCTGCCAAAGGCTGCAGCAATCCCTCAGCTCTGCAGATCCAGTTACACCACGGGGTCCTCCCCCCCCCAGCCACATTCACAGCTATCTGGACTCAGCTCCAACAGTATTTATACGTTAATACCGCAAGTTCACCCCGGGCCAGGGGTATGAAAAGGCAACTTGGCAAGCGCTAGCATCAAAAATAACATTAGCCATTCTTCTAAGATTGGCAAAGGCATAATTGGCAAAGGCATATAAGGTTAGGAGCACACTTCTGTTTTCAAGTCTAAACTGATCTTTTTGGTGCTGCACTGAAATTATTATTACTTTTTTGTTGCAGGTTACTGACAAAAGCAGTGTTTTCCCAGAATAGCTTGGACTGCTCCCACCAGCTTGCTCCTGACAGGACGGACCAGTGATGGAAATGCCTCCCGCTGAGGCCGCTCCCGCACCATCCCTCCTCTGGCACACAAGGGCAGCCACAAGGACTGCTCACTCCATCTCTTGCTTTCCTGTGTGCCAAACCACTGCTTCTGGAAGAGCACCTTGACAAAGGGAGTCCATAGGTAGGACAAAGCTGCTAGGAAATCGCTTCCCAGAACTTGCAGTGAGCAACAAACACTTCTGTGGAGCCAGGCCTCCATGTCTTGCACCTGGAGTGTCCACAGGGCTGCAGACCCTCAAGCAAAATCACACTGCCAATAAACTACTACCCAGTTTCTGAATTGGGTTACCATTCCTAGTTATTTCTATACCAATTCAATTTGCATGTGTCTCAAATATATACTGACGTACACAGGGACTCAGCTTATTTTGGAAAGCCTGTATCTCAGGCTGAAAGTTCATGAAGTGGAAACAGACCATCTACATTTAAACTATTTTCATTTCATAATTAAGATGTACAGCACTTTCTATGAATCAAACTAGGAATATACTTACCCCCACATTTACACTGCCATGTTCTTTATTGCACCAAACGCCAGTATCTGACTACTACCTTATCATCATTCCTACTTAAAGACCCTGGGAGTACTGGTAAGACAGCAGATGCCACGACATTAGTGATTTAGTTTGTATTTCAAATTTGACATAAAACACGTTTGAATACCACATTTAAAGAATGTCAGCTTCAAAATTACTGAAAATAATCAACCCAAGGAGACTGCACAGTGCAAGGCTGGCACTGAATCACACAGAATCACAAGGTTGGAAACGACCTGCAAGATCATCTAGCCCAACCACCCTCCCATTCCTATCAGTACCACAAGCACTAAACCATCTCTCGTAGCTCCTCATCCAGACGCCTCTTGAACACTACCAGGGACAGTGACTCCACCACCTCCCTGGGCAGCCATTCCAGTGCCTGACCACCCTTTGAGAGAAAAAGTTTCTCCTAATATCCAACCTAAACCTCCTCTGGTACAACTTCTGGCCGTTTCCTCAGGTCCTACTATTTGCCTGGGAGAAGAGGCCAGACCCTTTTGCACCACAACCTCCCTTCAGGAAGTTGTACAGTGCAGTGAGGTCTCCCCTGAGCCTCCTCTTCTCCACACTGAACAATCCCAGCTCCCTCAGCCGCTCCTCATAAGACTTGTGCTCCAGACCCCTCACCAGGCTCCACTGGGAGCCTCATTCCCAGTCCTGGGGCAGACTCACACAGTACCAGGCCTCACTTAGCTCTGCTATAAGCAGTAC